AGTGTCACACACTCGACTTGATCGTTTTATTATTCATTTGGTTCGGTAAAATAAATTCGGTACATTATTTATTTTATTTGTTTGATTTGTTTCAATTTATTTATTTTATACAGAAGATTGTTCCAACAGTAAGATTGTAGGCTGAACTCCTATAAAGAGTGATTTGATATTAATGTCATTTATTTCTTCTTCATCATCTGAGTTGTATATAGTAGTTGACCTTTCTTAGAGGTTGCCTAATGCTCAAATTGTTTTGGATTAACTCTATAACCACCATGCAATAACAACAATTGTGCTATGAAGAATTTTAGAAATATATATGGGATTCAAGATAAAATACATGTCGTCGAGTAAAAATATGATGGACCATATGTTAAGCTTCGAGGTGAAAGTCGGCAACATGAAAATTAGATCACCATCCCTGTCGAAGAAGTATCATCGGTTGTCCAAAAAAAGTCAATCTACCATATATCGACGAGAAGCAACAAATAAAGAGAGTTTGATGTCGCCATGAAACCTTCCAAAAGTGGTAAAGTACGTAAGGACAAGAGACACATAGAACATGTTCCATCAAGAAGATTGCAATGAATTTCCCTTAGTTTTTCAACAATGATTAGAAGGATAAATGAAATTCTATAAATAGGTGGTCAATTATTACATCAAAGGTATGCAATATCAAAACACTCTACAAGATATCAAGAACTCTCTTTGAAGTTGTTAATTTGATCTTTAGAGTGCTTATCGAGCTAAACCCTCATCCAAACTCGGTGTCTTATATATTATATAGGTAGAGTAAGAACAACCATCTTCATTAGCTTCAAGGGAAAAAAGTAACGTATTTCCCGTCCCACCATAATATATATATATATATATATATATCATTCTCTATTTTTGTACATTTTTGCATGAAAAATTAAATTATATTTCTCAAACATATTATTAATTTTTTTCACCTCACATTTCAAACGGACCATACGTATTTTTACTCTTGACCTATCATAAAATGAAGGGGGAAAGAAGCAATGATGGAGGAGCGTGCACCCTGTCCATCGTGCGATGACCAACCACAGAGGTGTGTTGAGCAAGCTTCACCACCTGGTCTGCTCAAAAGTCTGAGCGGGTCCATAGATGAGTTTGGGCTTGGAATTAATGTGGAGGTCAACTTGGGCCATCCGAATAGTGACCATATAGTTCAAGGCCCTATTTCTAGAATTAATGAGGATATAGTGCAAGGCCCTACTCTCTCGCCACTTGAACTTCAAGGTAACAGGTCAAGCAATATTCCTTTATTACCAACTGGGCCTCATCCACCTGCTGCTTCATATGGGTTGGGCACTATGAGTTTACATGCTAAAGGCTCAGTTCGTTGTCCCGACCCCATCCTCAATCCCCATCAGTACGCCAAGAAAGCTAGGAAAAAGAAGGTGCACATGGAGGGGTTCTCTCGGTTTTCTCGACTCTATGGTCACAAATCTGCAGCTATCTGTAAACACTCCTCCAAGTTGATTATCTTCAGGCCAACAGCAGTGGCCCTTACACGCTCTGAGCTAACTGAGGGTGACACAAGCTCGCACAGCTATCTCCTCAAGGAAGCGCAGGCCACTGTCAAATTGGGGAAAGATCTGGGAATTAACTTCCGTGGGTAGGAAGATGGTGTGGTGGATAAGATTATTGAGCTGGAACTTAAGGATAAAGAGAGACTTATAAGGGATGGAAAGGCCCAACAGTAATAACAGTGTGCTGGGGTCGAATAGAGGGTCCATTTTGTTTAATTATGAAGCTTTTATCTTGGAATGTCAGAGGGATTGGCAAGCCTGAGAAGAGGGGAAGAATTAAAAGGCTACTAAAAGATAGGCATATTGATATTGTATTCCTTCAGGAAACAAAGAAGATTGTGGTATCTGACAATTTAGCTAGAGGGCTTTGGGGTCAAAGGAAAATGGAGTTCTTGTCTGTGGATCCAGAAGGTACTGCAGGTGGGCTTTTATGTATTTGGGATCCAGATATCTTCCAATTATCTGGTAGCTGCTGCAACAGGAGGTTCATTCTACTCTCAGATTGGTGAGAGAGTAGGCTACTCCAGAAGAGACAAAGGCATGCAACAGCTTAATGAGTTCATAGATTCCACTGAATTAAATGATCTTCCCCTTCTTGGTAGGAAATATACGTGGTGCAATGCCCAAGAATTCCATAATTGAAGCAGAATTGATAGGGTGCTGTTAAGCCCTGAATGGCTAATTCACTTTAAATTGAAACTCTGGGGGCTGCCTAGACTAATATTAGATCATTGCCCCCTCTTACTAATGGAAGATGAAAGAGATTGGGGCCCCAAACCCTTCAGGTTTATCAATACGTGGACTTTGCATCCCAAATTTGCTCAACTATTTACTACCAGCTGGGCGAATGCTAGTTTCGTAGGTTGGGCTGGGTTTATCCTCCAACAAAAACTAAAACACTTAAAGTTGGAACTAAGGAAATGGAATACTGAAGTGTTTGGAAATGTTTCAACCAAACTTAAGGCTACAGAGGATGAATTGCATGACCTTGACATCATTGCGGAGGAAAGAGAATTGCTACACTCTGAAAAGGCTAGAAGAAGAGAAGTCAGAGGTGAAGTGTGGAAGCTCTACAGAAGGGTGAAGTGGCTATGGCATCAACAGTCCAGACTGAATTGGTCACTTAAAGGGGATAAAAATACTAGGTTCTTTCAAGCTATTGCAAGCTCTCGCCAAAGTAGAAACATGATTAATACTATCTCAGCCAATGGTGTTTCTTATGAGGACCCTGGTAGGCTTAAGCATGAGGTTTTCAACCATTTCAAGAACCACTTCCAGGATCATTGGATTAACAGGCCTGCTTTGGGTGGGGAGTTCAAAGTAATTGCGGATAGTCTTGTCTCTCACTGCTTGATACCTAATTTCACTGAAGAAGAAGTTCGGGCAGCCATTAAAGACTGTAATGGTAACAAAGCTCCAGGCCCAGATGGGTATAACTTGTTGTGTTATCAGAAATTCTGGAAAGTCATGAAACTGGAGAACATGCAATTCTTTAGTGACTTTCACAAGCATAGCTAGCTTACCTATAGTATCAACAGCTCTTTTATTACCCTCATTCCCAAGCTTGATAGTTCCATTAATCTGTCTGATTATAGACCCATTAGCTTGGTGGGCTCTCTATATAAAATTTTGGCTAAAGTCTTAGTGCAGAGGCTAAAGCCTGTGATGCCTTCAATCATAGGTGAGACCCAGACAGCTTTCATAGGAGGCAGGAATATCCTAGATGGGGTATTTATTGCTAACGAGGTTGTGGATGGATGGAAGAAAGCCACGAGGCAAGGGTTGGGTTGTATCTTTTTGAAGGATCATAGAGGTGTTTGATTATAGGAGTGGTAATAATGGCTATCAAAACTGCCATTAAGGTGATAATGGAGTAGAATTTTTTATTGACTAGCTGCATATGTTGTTAAAATATCAGAATTCAAGATTTAGAAATAACAAAATTTGTTGTCCATAATGTAGTTGGTATATAGGTTAGAGAAAGTTCACTTCATAATTGAAAATTTTACTATATGGATACAACTTTTGGTAAATTATATTACTATATTTCATTGGCTCAGCTAAAGCACAAAATTTGCATGCAAAATGTCATATATAAACGAATTGTTTACCACCATTTGTATTTATTATAAGCAGTTACAGTGGGATACCAAACTATTTGGCATTGCCAAAATTTGACAAGAGGTCACCAAAGCAGCACTCTAGTGGGCTACAATACCACTTGCCATAAATGAACACGTGAAATGCACCACTGAAATTACAAATTTATGTAAATATCAACACAGTAGAAATTAGCACATAAATTTTGCACACAGTTAACAAAAAATAGCACAAAATTAACAGAAGAAATCAAGAAAAAATAAAATAAAATATATATAGATAAAAAAATGTGGTTCACCAAAACCTAGGTGCATACAGGGCCGGCCCTGAGGGTTAGGGGGTCTAAGTAGGGATGGCAATAAAAACCGTACCCAATAGTTACCCATGGAGATCCTACTCGAAATAAGTGGGTTTCCCCTATTTTTCTATCCATCGGGTCAGTGGGTAATCTAATTTAATTCCCCATCGGGGAATGGGTAAGGGAATGGGTCATCTCATTTCTCTGTATGTTTTGACACCCTCTGTTCAATTGTTCATAGCTAGGGTTTTCTCACTCTCACTCACCACTCCTACTCTCCCACTCCCACTCCAAATCAGAGTTAAGCATCAAAAGCAGCTTGAGTTCCAGGATCAAAAGCAGAGTTCTCCGGCGATCTCGTTGGTGCTTAACACAGTTCTCCAGTGTGGTGAGTTCGATCATACCTAGTTGATGATTGATTTTTGGGGAAATTTATTTTAAACTTTTGATTGATTGTCCTGGTTATTTACAAACTTGATGCTTCAGATACTGCAATTTGATGGCAAACACACGTCAAAATGGAACTTCCATAATTAATAACTTTCATTCTGTCTCAATCAGAATCAAGTGGCAGTGACAATGTCAAACTTATAAGTCATAATGGGTGTTTTAGTTGAAAATGAAAGGAGAATGAAGGGATACATCTTCCTGTATAGAAATTCTGTACAGAATTTTTGTTTGTACACCATCATCCTAACATAAAAAAACTAATGCTGTCACAATTTTTACCTTGCCACTGCCTAACCCAGTTAATAGTTTCCCAAGAATAGTGACTGCAAAAATCATTAAAATATTTTTGCACAGCAGAGAGGCAGAATGCAGTCTCAGATAATAATCTCAATTTTGATTCTACAACTTTGAATGGCATGATCACATTTGAGGGCTGGAGTGTTGGTTTATAGGCTTTGGGTCCTAAGATACATGTTTTCCCCTGCTTTTTGATTCAGAACCTTATATCATTCCCATATGGGCAAATACCTAGGCAAATACCTAGTTGATGATTGATTTTTGGGGAAATTTATTTTAAACTTTTGATTGATTGTCCTGGTTATTTACAAACTTGATGCTTCAGATACTGCAATTTGATGGCAAACACACATCAAAATGGAACTTCCATAATTAACAACTTTCATTCTGTCTCAATCAGAATCAAGTGGCAGTGACAATGTCAAACTTATAAGTCATAATGGGTGTTTTAGTTGAAAATGAAAGGAGAATGAAGGGATACATCTTCCTGTATAGAAATTCTGTGCAGAATTTTTGTTTGTACACCATCATCCTAACATAAAAAAACTAATGCTGTCACAATTTTTTAGTTTATTCATCAATCATTGGATGAATCCTAGGGCCTCTGAGACAAATCTCATCTGGGTTTCCAAAAACCAGGTATGTAAATGACTTTTAATCTAGCAAAACATAAAAATTACAATCTAAACAAAACTAACAGATTAAAATTTTTAGTTGGAGCAATTGAGGGTGCCAGGTCCAGTTGATATTCTCCTTCTTGTTACTCTCTTGTAAAATATTTAAAATTAACGCAATAATACACTTTTGTAATAATAGTTTTGTATTCATAACTTTCTGTTATTTTTGGATACAATTATTATCGAAAGTCAAAAGCAAAGGCTAAAGTTGGTTGGGAGAATAAGAGGTACCCTTTATCTTTTGGCTTAAACCTTAAACCTCTTAAGCCATATGCCCATTTATTTTGTTTGTAATTATCTTGGCCTTTCGCTGCAGTCCATGGAAAACTACTTCAAAATATTTCTCAAGTTTGTCTTTCTTCTAGTTTAGCTATTGGTCCAAGTGCCACACAAAGACTTCTTCTTGGACTTTTAGAAATGCCACCCTCTTGGGCACCCAATGTGTTTGATGGTACATTTTTTCTTGAAGTTTAAATGGAGAAATTATTTGTTTTAAATTTAATAAGCCTCTTTTCGTGATATTTTAATATCTCTATGTATTTTGAGGATTTTGTACAAGTCTCGGAGTCATGTTATGAAATCTTAATATCTCATGTGTTTGAGACATCGTAGTAAATTTGGACTCATGTTGATGAGTAGTGGACTCTTTCATTTAATGGCATGTAAGATGGACTCTTTAGCTTTCAGTCTATGAATTGAAAGACTAGTGTCTTGTATGCATGCTAATATCTCTTGATAAGGCATGGTCTTCTTTCTTATTTCATGAGCCTATTGTATAAGTTTTTAGGTGAAATGGAGCGTTTGAAGCACTTTGACCACTTCTAAAACTCAAAACACTTTTCTACCAAAATTTCCAACACATTGCTTGCGCAATAATCCATTTTTAAAGCTCATATATCTGAGACTATTTCAAACCACATTGTAAGGACTAGATTAATTTGAACCATTAATTAATGCAATTAAGACCTTGATTATTTAATTAATTCTATATTATACTTGGTTAAGTTAATTGCTATGCTACTTAATTTATCAATTTGTGTGAACGACTTTTCTGTTTCAGGTTAGGATGGAAGGATGGGTTCTAGTACTTAGTAGTTGACCGTTTTTGTGTTGAAATATTTTTTTCGATATGGTAATATTATCTGGCTATTAGTGTCATTTATTTGTGTTTGGATCCCAAAATTTGTAAAATAGTACAAAAATTGGAGGAATTTCTGAGAAATTTGCATTTGGCGTAACTCACAAATCACCTCTCATTCCCTCAATCACCATTTTTTCTCACTTGTAAGTCTTGTATACTCTCCTTATGCCTATTAGATAGCAGAAAGTGAAAGACAGAGTCTAATACATATAATGTCTCTCTCCTTCTTTTCTCTTCTCTTCTTTTGTCTCTTTTTCTCTCCATTGTTGGAGCTTGTTTGTAGAGTGTCTTGGACTTGGAGGCAAACCTTTGGAGACTTAAAGCTTGGAAGGAAGTTTGGCCACCACCCCATCTTATCTTCCTTACCCTTGTTTCTCTATTAAAGCTTTAACCGAGGTAGTATTTCTTCTGTACTTATTGTACGGATGAAATGTTAGGGCTTCTATTTGGTAAATTCATGTAATGAATATTTATGTTTCTTTGGCCTTAAAAATGGAGTTAATGCATGTTAGGATGTTAGATTTGAAAAACCTGAGCTTCAAATTTATTGTTATTCATCATTAATCCAAAGATGGTTGACAAGCCCATGAATCGGATCATTAAAAAATGAGAGGAAATGTGAGAGGCAGAGAGTTAATCGTCCACAGCCGATCTGACCACTCAAATGACTGATAGTGCATGTTTAAGACTATTTTTTGCATTCAACTTGCATTCCAACAACAAGCAACATGACTTATTTTAGTTAGGAACAGGCTATTTTAATAATTTTTTAGTTTTTTTGTTAAAATATGAGATAAAAAAATTAGTATGTTTGGCATGATAAAGTAATGTGAGGTACCTATATAAAGTAATGTGGTTGGGCAAATCTAGCTCAGTTATTGATATTGAGTGAATAGATCTTCCATTTGTATCTATGTGAATCCAATTTTTGTTGAATTGAACTTGTTAATAAATCAATATGTAATTATTTTTAAAATAAATATATTTTCATTGAATAGTCTTAGTACTTAATTTTTTTTCTTATTTTTCAGGTAATTCAACATTGGAATCAGTTGGTTATGCTACTATATATGATGAGATGGATGTGAATCAAAGTTGATCTTTCTTTTGTATTTCTCTTGTTGGACGGCTCAAATTTTTATAGTAGGATCTTTTTACATGTTATACATTGTCTTTCAATATATAGATGTGAATTAGAGTTGAGCAACATTGTTTTCTTTGATCTTTATTATCCTTGTGTAGGTTTTGTTGTTGGAGCGTTGCTGCTGTTGAAATGCTACCGCTGCTAGAGTGTTGCTGTTGTAAGAAACTTGTAAAGACTTGGAGTTGAAATGTTAAAGAATGCACTTTGTTAAATTGGGAGCTGAAATGCCAAAGAATGTGCATTGGGAGTTTAGTGTGTTTTGCTTCTAGTTGAATTAAGCCTTATTATGAACATCTAACTACTTTAATAATTTTGTGCAATTCGTTTATGATGTTTACAATTACACAGTTAGATATTTTGACATACATGTGTATTTAGAGTGAAGTTATCCATATGTGGGTTTTGGTTGGCAAAATGTTTTTGATATTATTTTGTTAGTACTGTCTTTAAGATCTTTGTTGTGCATTTTGATTTGTTACAATTTTTTTATTTTTTTGTGTGCTACCATTGGGATGAACATGGGTAGCTATGTATTAGTGTTGGTTGATAGAGATCAACAAATAATTCCTTATTTATGCCCTGATGCAATTTATTATGGGTCTTATAACACTTTCTTCAAACAGGTTCTTTCACATTTTATTTTTTCAAACAGGTAACATTATAAATAGGTTCTTATAACATGTAGAGACGAGAGTGAGAGAGAGAGATGGTTGTAATTTTTTTTAAATCTTCTACGTTTTTTCACATTTTTTTTTTCAATTACTAAAACTTATTTGATTGTCTCAAAATTATATATTTAGTTTTTGTTGTGAACTTAAAAAAAAAAAAGTTTTTAACATTAAATATATTAAAAAAGAAAGAAAAAAGATTGAAGGTATATTTAGTTTTTGTTGTGAACTTAAAAAATAAAAAATAAAAAAAATAAAAATAAAAAATTTAACATTAAATATATTAAAAAAGAAAGAAAAAAGATTGAAGGTATATTTAGTTTTTGTTGTGAACTTAAAAAAAAAAAAAGTTTTTAACATTAAATATATTAAAAAAGAAAGAAAAAAAATTAACCGATACAGGTCTTCAATTTTAGTTCATAGCGTAAGTTAAATGTAGATTTTCTACGGGAACAGATAAAATTCAAACCATCATATATTCATATACAATAGCACTCAAAATCAGTAGTCAAACACTAATCACATTCGTAATTAAGATTAAGGCCAAGTTTTCGGCTCTAAACTAAAAAAGTGCACTTAATTTACACCTTCATTTTTAATCTTTTTTTTTCTAAGTACTGTTTCACATTATCATATTCTATTTTCTAACATGTCTACTCACTCTCTCAAACTTCATTCACTAATCCGATAATACTCAAGATAACAGTTACCAATAAATATTTTCGTACACTAATTGCACAAAGCATCATATTTAGTCCAGTAACTTTTCCCCAAAACAGTTTGGGCCATTAATATAATTCATTAGATAACGGTTCAGTTTCCCAAAAGCAGAATTAGTGGGCCTATTCCACATAAATACAACTTAATATACTGTGCCGCATTAATAGCGCAGAGTTATCCACCCTTTCAAAATAAACAACGTATATAATCTTTCCCTATATACAAAGATTAGAACTCTTATAAATATTCGACATTATATATATCGGAAATCAATGAACATTTACCCAAAAGTCTTCATTAAGAGGTAGTTCCATAAAGGTAGAGTAAAGTATTAATTCTATACACAAGTATACTCCCAAAACGGATGTCGACTGACATTGCTGATAAATCTACAATATAACTCAATCCAAATTTCATACATTTCTAATACACTAAATCTCCTATTTCTTATCTCTAATATACAATTAACTAATACATTATCGCAAATCCAAGATTAATTTATGATGGCATAAAAATCATTAAAAAACCCCACATTCTTCTTCCCAAAAAATACACTCATCTCTGTATATTATACAAAATAAAAGCTAATTCTATATATCATAGTAGAAATTTTTAATCACAAATCTAATGGGCTAACACTTAATTTCCACATACTCCCTCACACCAGTTATTTAAATATCATTTCCATTCAAAAAACCTGTCCATCTTTTTGATTTTTTCAACAATCCAAAACTCTCTATAGTTTGCTGCTCCGAAATTCATCTCAAAACATCATTGATGGTTTATAGAGATAAATAGACTTAGAATAAAATCAATACATAAATAATATGTAGAGAATCAACCTATCTTCCATAAAATACAACTAGAGACGGGAAGTACGAGAATAAACACTCTCATGGATTTGATTACCCCTTCGTCGTTCAATGTACATATACCGATAATATCTCCAAAACTTTCACATATTCCAAATTTTGAAAAACGAAGCATCATACGTGCGTTTTGCAGTTTACTTTTATAACAAAAAGAGGTTCAGGGTGAAGATTATCAACTAGATCTTAGTTGTATTTGTAGAGGAAAATTAGGAGATGGCAATGGGGATAAATGGGTGAGATTATTAATTTCCTCATCAGTCTCCATTCCCCTATATAAAGTCCCCACTTCACCCATTTCCTCATTCCCATGATCGGCTATCCCCGGTACCCTCCAATTTGTCTACTAGGTTTTGGTTTTTCCCCAATTCCCAACTTTATCGCCACTTTATTTTATTTTTATTTTTATATTAACGTTAGAAGCAACACTTTTTTCTTTTTTTTTTTTTTTTAAGTCCACAACAAAAACAACTAATTACCTTCAATCTTTAA